TATATATCCTGCTGATTCCAGCAGGCCCCCAGGCTCTCTGTCTTGGATTTTGCATGTGTTAAGAGAGGAGGCTGGACTACATGGTTGTAAACAGACTCTAAAGACTTTTCTAAAGCCTCATAACTCAAGCGCTCAATAAAATTTGCCTAATGAAAATCATCCCCAACTGATAGACAACAGACTTAGAAAGTTACGGGCTCAAGGTCACGGTATGGGGCAGAACATGAACTACAGCCCAGATCTGTCTCCACCAATCTAATGTTCACACTGTCCAAGATCCAAAGGTGACATTATCCCTTTCTTCCAAGCTCAAAGTCATTTCTCCTCTTGCCCGAGTCAGGAGATAAATCTTGCCTGACTCCACTAAATCATAGGACAATGGGACCAGGAAGAAACAACTATCTATATTACTGACCTAAAGAATCAAAAGAACTGAAGAGGTAATCTACCTGCAGAGCCCTTGCCTTTGCCCAGATTTCAAATGAGATGCTTAAATGAGGAATCTTTACTGGTTTAATTTTAAGCAATGTGATTATAAAAATAACTTCAAATAATAATGCTTCCTGAGAGTTCAGTGCATAATTTCTTTATTAATTCCATGCTCAAAGGTGCCACTGAACCAAAGAAGAGTCACAAGGGTGATTAATCATAAAAGGTTAGCAGAAAATGTCAATATTTTATGACTTTTTTATTGAAAAAATACATACTTAATATGACACATTCCTAGGGTTGTAAGTTAGGTGTGAAAGGTCATCTGACATGTCATCCTAGATAGCTCCTAACCAGAGAGTCAAGATCAAACTGCTGAGTCTTCTCATCTTTCAACCTAGTATCTGAAAAGCAACTGGTCCCAAATGCAATATACTGCACTCTGTACTCTGACAAACGCAAATGACCACACCATGGTTTAGAACTTTCTGTCAAAGGAGGCTGATAAGAACACGGAGAACAGAGGGGTTGTCGGTCACGGCTCAAGCTATAGCACTTTAGCGCCACTTTAAGACAACTCTTTCTTGCAGTTTCATCGCCTATCAAATGGGAAGTCATCTGACATCTAACTCACCAGATGAATATATAGATCAAATTATATCAGAGGATAATTCAAACAGTTTAGAAATCTGGGAGGAAAGTGAGGAACCACCGTTTATCATGACTATTTACTACGTTTAAGGTGCAGAAGAACACGCGTTCTACCCTTCTTGACTCTGTGTTCCCCAGGGTCCTCAAAAGTGGTGCAAGGCACAGCTTCTGCAGTCTCCAGATCCCCCCGAAACCGTAGATCATATGACTATTATGATCTGTTGCTGTGATGGGAAGGGGGGCTTCAGGCACCCGGCCTAGAGCAGCCTACCATCACCGCGCCCCCCGTCACCTTGTCTTCACCTTGAGGAACAGAAAGGCACCCTAGGGGAGCGAGTAACGCAGCCGGCAGAAAAGGAGGCGTGCCTCGATCCTCGCAGGCCACCGTTGCTTAGACTCCACGTTCCCGCGGGGCAAGGACAGGGACCGGGAGCTGACGGTGCCAGGGACGTCTTGACCTAGGGCAGTGGAGGCGCGGACAAGGGCACTGGGGCCGCACCGGGACAGCTGCACCTCACGGTCGGCCAAAGGCCGAGACAGCCCCGCCTGGCCTCGCCTCCAGCCGCAGGCAGCGAACGAAGGTCCCGGCCCCAAGAGAACCCACACATCTGGGCGCGCTCACCTGCAGCCGGGACACCAGAAGGCTGTAGGGTGCCATTTTGTGCACTGACAAAGATGAGGTCGCGTGAAAGTGACGTGGCACAGGGCTCCTTTAAAGGACCCAGCGGGGGCGTGGCTTCCAGGGAGAGCGTCAGGGCGGAGGTAGAGCCTGCCTATTCCCGCGGAGTGGGCGGGGCTTGTTGAAAGCATTGGGCGGGGCCCAGGGGCTCTGGTGGACAGAGCTTGCTGGAGGCGGTGGGCGGGGCTTGTGGGCGCCCAAGGAAAAAGCGGCTGAGAAACTGCCAGCCTGGGGCTTTGGTGCATTGCTGTGCACCTGGGAGGTTAAAGTTGAAGGGTCTGGAGTTCAAGGTCACCCTGCACTACACTGCGAGGTCAAGGCCAGTGTGGGGTACTTGAGACCGTGTCTCAAAGAAATAAACCCACGAGAGGAGTCCTCTGGCCGGCCAGCGGTGGGCGGCACAGTCGGCCGGGTACGTTGCGTCCCTGCGTCCGCGTGGCAGTAGCGCATCCCTGGCAGCCGGCGGGAGGATTCCGGGAACTGCCCGGCCCTGTCTGCGGGGGATGGAAAGCAAGCCTGGTAGCTGAGATACATCGAGGATTTAAGGTCTCGGGTACTGCCCCTGTCATGATTTGCTGTAAACTCTGGAAGCTCTTGCATTTCAGTCAAGAAATCTCAGACCCTCTTTCAGTTCCTTGGCCAGTGGCCTTGGTGGCACCCTACCCCTGTGGTCAGCCCAGGGCCTGTCCTGCCCATGCAGTACCCAGCTGCCACTGCTGAGGGCCTTAGTGGCTCACTCTTTGGGGCCTACACACTCCCCACCTTCAAGTTCCAGCCTCGGCGTGAGAGCATAGACTGGAGGCGCATCAGTGCAGTGGACGTGGACCGTGTGGCCCGGGAGCTGGACGTGGCCACTCTGCAGGAAAACATTGTCGCCGTGACTCTGTAATTTGAACCAAGAGTCATGCAGCCGCTGTGGGCAGCCCGTGGACCCTGTGCTGCTCAAGGTGCTGCAGCTGGCACAGCTCATCATCGAATACCTGCTGCACTGCCAGGACTGCCTGAGTGCCAGCGTGGCCCAGCTGGAGGCACGACTGCAGGCCAGCCTGGGCCAGCAGCAGCGTGGTCAGCAGGAACTGTGTCGCCAGGCCGATGAGCTCAAGGGTGTTCGGGAGGAGAGCCGCCGGTGACGGAAGATGATCAGCACCCTGCAGCAGCTGCTCCTGCAAACAGGTGCCCACAACTACCACACGTGCCATTTGTGTGACAAGACATTCATGAATGCCACCTTCCTCCGGGGTCACATCCAGCGCCGGCATGCAGGCATGGCAGAAGGCGGAAAACCGAAGCAGGAACAGCCCTTGGAGGAGATGTTGGAGGACGTGCGGGCCAAGCTAAAGTGGACCCAAGGGGAGCTGGAAGCCCAGAGGGAGGCTGAGAGGCAGCGGCAGCTCCAGGAAGTGGAGATCACTCGTCAGAGGGAAATAGAAGCTAAGAAAAAATTTGACGAATGGAAAGAAAAGGAACGGAGCAAGCTTTATGGGGAAATAGACAAGTTAAAACAATTATTTTGGGATGAATTTAAAACCGTTGCCAACCAGAATTCTACACTAGAAGTACTCAGCACAAAAAGCTTTCCAAAGCTGTTTTGGTGAAAACAGCTTTAATTATGCTCGAACATTAACTTCTTGTGTGTGTGTGTGTGTGTGTGTGTGTGTTTGTGTGTGGGTGTGTGTGCAGGTGTGCTTGCCCATGGACAAGAATGTGGAGGCCAGAGGGGACATCAGATACCTTCCTTTACCATCAATCTCCAGTTTAGCTTTTTTTAAAAAAAAGATTTATTGTGGTGTGTCTGTGTGTATGTATGTGGGTGCCTGTGGAGGCCAGAAGAGGGTGTCAGATCCCCTGGAGCTGGAGTTACAGGCTGTTGTGAGCTTCTCAGTCTGGGTGCTGGGAACTGAACTTGGGTTCTCTGGAAGAGCAGCAAGTGTGCTTAACTGCTGAGTCATCTCCGCACCTTAGTTTTCTTTTTTTCTATCTTAGTTTTTGAGACAGGATCTCTCACTGAACCTGGAGCTCCTGTTTTTACTAGACTGACTGGCCAGTGAGCCCTTTGGATCAGCCTGGCTCCACCTTCCTCCCCTGGGTTTACAGATGTGCACCTGACTTTTTTGTGGGCGCTAGGGATCTGAACTTAGATCCTGATGGTTGTGCACCAAGCACTTTACCCACCGAGCCCTCGTCCCAGCCCCACAAAATTCTTTGTTTACCCTGCACTTGTATTAACTTCATCTGTTGCCGGGGGCTGATATAAGTATGAAGTTGGATGTCAGAGACCAGTGCCCCGGGGAAACCACATAGCTCTGTCATGTATTTGCCATGTGACTTTGGATGAGTTATCATACCTTCCGGTGCCTTAGTTTCTTTTTGTATAAGATAGACTAGCAAAAGGTTTAAATTAACACATATGTACTCCTTGGCATTATCTGGCATGTAATATGAATTTCCTAGAAGATTGACCTTATTTTGCAAAGAGTTTTTATTACTGGACAAGAAATGAGGTAGAATTTAAATGAGTGCATTTTTCTCTTAACATATTCTGTGTATGCTGGCTCTGTTAGACAACCCGGTGGGGTCTGTGGGGTCTGTGGGGTCTGTGGCAGTTACATGAAGAAGTTAAACACCACTGACTTAACACAATACTGACTGTGCTTACTCTTTTCCCGCCTCTAAGCGGAACTTTATTTATTTATTTAGCCAGGATCTTTTGTCTGGCTGGCCTGGAACATGCTATATAGACCAGGCTGGACTGAAACTAAAATAGTAATCTTCCTGCTTGTACCTCCGGAATGCTTAGATGTATGAACCATTACCCAGCTACATTAACACAAAAACAGCCAAAGTAGTCTTGAAGTACAATTAATTTGTTAATTTCTTTTTAAAGTTCCTTTTAAATTTTTTACATTTTAAAAATAAAAAGTTGTTTTTGAGAGAGAGTTTTACCATGTAGCTAAGACTGGACTCAAAGTCGTTATGGAGCCCAGGCTGGCCTCAAACTTTCAGTCATCCTGCCTTGGTTTCATGGGCGTTGGGATTACAAGGCTTCTATCACTTTGCCTAAGTTCCATTTAAAAAACTTTCTGTGTGAGTGTTTTTTTTTTTTAAATACATATTACATTGTACTTGAAAATGGGTGAAGAAATCAAGACCACATAACTTGTTAAAATTCATACAGCAAGAATTGGAGGTGGGACTTGAACTTGACTTTTTAAATTCCAAAGTCCTGTTTTTCTACTGGATATTCTCTTTAACTGTCATTGTTAAATCAGGAAGACCTTTGAAAGGCTATCGCTGAACCATATCTTCCCATATAAGTGTGTACAGAAAATATTTAAAAAATATATTTATCTCTCATTGGTCCTCCTCATACCAAGAGAATGCTGTTTTTGCAAATGAACTGTCAAGAGTATTTTTCATAACCATTCCATGTTTTTCCTATGGAGCTTGTCACAGTTATGTGTAGAATCTGAGATGGAAAGGTTCAGATGGAAGGTGGTAGGGTTGGAATGAAAGCTGTATGGTGTGTATATGTGGGAGTATTACCTAAAACTAGCAGTGTTCCCCCACTGGATCAAGGCTGATTTGTGGAAGGTAAGCTGCTGCCTTCTGGTGTGGCCCTCTGCTCCTTCACCCCTCTGTACCCATCATTTCCAACCTTCTCAAAATGCCTTTAATTTCACATTCCCCAACATGTCACCTGCTGAGTAGGCATTTGGTAAATAAGTATTGATTTGAATTGGAAGTCATTGTTTAGAAACC